GAAATTTCATTGCAACAAAACAACACTCAGATAAATATCGCAAGAATAACAAGAATAACAAAGTAACAAAAATATTGACTTATAAAGAAAAAGTATAGTCGGCAAATTTCGCAAAAATCGAAAAACTTTTTATTCAGCAGCGGCAACAACGACAAAACACGCTAACAATTATCGCAAGAATAACAGTAATAAATTAAGCAAAAGTTCAGACTTATAAAAGAAAATGGGAAAGGAGGCCCTCTTAAAGTCTGCACATTTCGCAACTGTGCTCTTCTCTGTTCCAGTGAAAGGATCAAAAACCATGATTTCCCGGCACAACATTCCGTCGTGAAGAGAACTCCGTGACATTGGCTTCCTAAAAAATTTAGAATCCAATTCAAACGGAGTCTTAAGTTAAAAATGAAATTGCTTTTCAAATGAGCAAAAGGTAATCATCGGCCAACTGTCAAAGTAACCTTCGCTAAACTTTTTTTTTACTCGATTATTACTCCGCTGTTACTGGATCTATTTTAACTTTACTTAAACTGATTTACTTTTCTTAACTGGGAACTCAGGAACATCCATGATCGCGAACGCAAACATTAGCAACAAACAATGGACATAAATTATGGCCTTTTTTTTCCTCATTTTGAAATATTTCCTACAAAAATCGTGAAGAATATGATCTTAAGAAACACCAGGGTAAGCGTTTCTGACGAGGAAATTATTTTATATTATTCAATGTGTGGGGTTTAAGCACGGTTTTCAAAGAGAGAGCCAGTTTCACAACAAATGCAATTATAATTTAACGAGAAAAAGTGCGTCGTAATATACTCATCATAGAAAATTTACTAAACGCCAAATAAATCCTTTAATTTAAGCGGTTGAGATGATTTTCAATAGTGGATGTAATTACTTCCGTTCTAATTTAAAGTACCGTTTTCCAGAGCAAATACTAGAAACATGGACAAACTCTTAGGCCTTCGAGGTCTAAGGAACTACTAAAGGTGTCGTAATGACATAACTTTCTTAGCGAGGAATATAGTTACTCTAGAGATATACCTGAATTTGAACAGGCCATTTATCTTTTTATTATAAAAAGGAAAATATCTATTTTTGCATTTGAAAACGTGTTTGAGAGTGTCATGTAATATAGAAAAGCAGCGGCTATCGTACCGTGCACTCTCGGTGGATAAGTTTTTGGTGTTTATTGGTTGAAGTTTTGGCCAAAACCATTTGGTTTACTTCCAAAGGCGAACGCCATTTATTATATTACCAAATTAACTGTACAAAGGTTAACATAATTACTATAATTACTTGCAAGCAATTAACTATAACTTGCCCCTGATGAGATCGTTCAACCTAAGAAAAAGATCAACAAGACTTGAGTTAAGTTTCTTCTTGCCATTTTTTACAGGAACTGATAATACATCTCTTGACTCGTATGGATTTGGAATAAGTGAAACACTTCAAGAAAGCCTAACTGCATTGTACGCTCTAACATTCATTACTGCTTCGCTTGGTAACATACTCCTCATATACATCATAAGGCAGCGACGTCCTCTAACTCCAATGTCCATACTGATTGTCAATTTGGCAGCATCAGATCTTCTTACAGCCTTATTCACAATGCCATACTTTGTTGCGTTTCTATATGTGCAGACCCACTGGTTTGGTGGCATCGCCGGCAAAATAACTTGCAAGCTACTGCACTTTGTCATTGGCTCAACAATCGCTTCTTCTATATTTGCTTTACTAGCAATTTCTGGTGAACGATATATCGCAGTGGTAAAGCCCCTCTGGTACCCGGCATTTACAAGGAGGCCCATCTTGCTATCAGTTTCAATATGGCTTTCGTCTGTCTTATTCATGTGCGCATTTCTCTTCGTTTACGTGCACACCGACATCAATGGACCTCATTGCTATGCAGACTGGGAAGCCGTTTTTAACAATGCGAATCTGAGTTCGAGAATATTCTATTCCACAGTTGCTGTTACGCTTTATATTTTACCTCTTACCGCCATTGCTATCTCGTCGGCGATCATTATGAGGAAGTTGAAAGACCAGAAAATACCTTTTTGTGCATTTCACCATACAACAAGAGAGGCGAAGTTTAAAAAACGAAATCGCTACATTATGCGGTTGCTTTTGGCCATCGTTATACTTTTTGCAGTTTGTTGGCTTCCTGTTCATTTGTTACACTTTTTAACATTTTTCTATGAAGACATTTACTTGGCATTGCCACAGTCTGTTCCATTGCTCTTATTTTGGGTCTCACACGCCAACAGTGCACTCAATCCCTGCGTGGTAATCCTTCTAAATGGTTCGTTTCGCAAGACGTTAATGGATTTGATTAGAAGTCTAAGCTGTCGCCTACGCTTCAAGTCAAACCGCGTGAATTGCGTAAGTTATGAGCTTTTCCAGCCATTTGATACAAGACTAAGACAAAGATGTCCTGTTAATGCATCAGTACAGTGGAATAAACGTCCTCGTTCTTCTCCAGTCATTCTCTTCGATATTAAAACAATCCCACAAGAGAGTTAGATTTGCCCAAGAAGGGAAATTATCCTTGGTCTTGGTCAGTCCTACAATATTAGAAAAACAATAACAAGAAGAAAACTTGAATTCCAAAAATAACAAAATGCTACAATCATCCACCGAAAGTACGCGGTTTTTGTTTTTCGAGATAAGGCCCAAAAAGTTAGCCATTGTGACGATTCATACTTGTTTTAGGGAAAATTACACTCAGAACGATCAGGCTTTATCTTGTAATTGGTATGAATGCATAGGAATAGGTAGGATATTTGACTTAAACCATTACAAGAGGCAACGACATGAGAGTGTTTTCGCTGGTGAAATCACTAACGCACTTGACTGCGTCTGAAGGAAAATTCATTCCATATATTTTTTTGAGAACTCTCAGCAAATTGGATTCTACGTTTCCAAGCGAGGTAACTTGATTACGAACTACCAGGTGAATAAGGTCGATGGAGGAGACATCACACTTGCATTCTGAGGAGGTATAAGTGAAAGTCTAAACTCTTGATGTGATTTTGATCATGATTAAGAAACCACACATCTTGCTTTGTTCCAGATATCTCATTATAGGTCTAGCTGTTGATAATATTTACGCCAAATGGAATTTGTTTCCCATCTTCTTATTATTTACTGACGCTAATGGATCGCTATTCTAATATTAGATCAATTTTTTTGCTTTTTGCTTTTTAACAATTCTTGATTTTGCAAATAGAAGTTGTATTACATCAAAATGCTTCCCAGAATCGAACTTATCAAGACAAAGTAGTGTAAAGGCTATTCCATTGTATCGCCTGCAAGAGGCCGTCTACTTAGGCGAGACTTGGGGTACAATGAGACATCATTATACATTTTGTTATATATATTATCAATGGTGTGTACAAACCTTGCACTCGTTATAACTTACTTGGTGGGTTTACTTCTACGGATAAAGTGCCACAGGGCCCTTTTGAGAGTCCCAATAATTAACGAGTCCCGAATTCAATAGTTGTGTAGATAATATGATAAAGCTATCATTTAACAAGACAAAATGACGGGCTCGTTAGTTAAGAACAGCGCTTTTTTATAACATTCTGATTTAAATATTTGATCTCGTGCCCGAAAGGTTACGGCGATTTTCGAGGAACGTGCCCCAGGCGCGAGACGTTTGAGAAATAAAACAATCTATAAGTCATAGCTTTTAAGTTTTTTTGATGTTTTACTTTAACTTATTCAAGGCTGATTTAGCAACAGAACGGGAACGTCAGTTGACGAAGGGGAGCGCACGGAAAGGACTGAACGCGACTTGCGGTGCCCAATTTGCCGCTTTGCCATTGGTCAAGCCGATTTTTTTTATTTGCGCGAGTCATCGTCAGTGTGGTAGCGTTGTGTTTGCTAAATCTGATCAGTAGTAATCTGGATGAATCAATATTATGTCTTCAAATTATATTCACAGGTAAAAAGTATATTTTATGTACTAGATAAAAGCATAAGGGCAACTTTATTTATCTTATATTTAGACTTCCTTCGTAGCATGGTAATACATTGTTGAGGACTTAATATGCTTCAAAAAGAAAAAGCAGCTCGTGTAACTTGAATTAATACATGGTATATTGCTTTATTGCTATTATTTTTCATTTAATTTGGCCTTCGTAGCAAATATCGGGTGCTGTATATATCCCCTTTCCAGCTAGATATTCATTAAATAAGCTTGTATTTTATTGAACATTAAAATGTTTCCTATTGGATCAAAAAGTACAAGTCACAAAAAGCCTTTGATTTTATCATTTTGTGACATATCACTCACTTAAATACACCTGCAAGGCCTTTCATATTCTTTTTGTCTTTCATAAAGATCCTGTCTTCCCAGAAATGATGGTTAAATATAATGGTTTCCACGATAAAATGTTGGTCTGCTTAAACCCTACCCTAACCATACCTTGAAGCAAGATCATTATCTAAAAGTACCATTTGAGAAATTATTTAGCATATTTGTGCGGTTTTTTGAACTTAGATAAGGCCCTTACAAACCTACTTTTAAGTTAGACTATTTTAATAAAAAGTATTCAAAATCCACGACAGTCTTGGATTCTAGCCCGTGGATTCCGGCTTCCTTAAGTTCTATTCTGGATTGCAAAGCCCAGAATTCCGGAATCCACAAAGGAAATTTCTCAGATTCAGGAATTCGGATTCCCATACATAAAGGCAACTAACTTGCTTGTAATGTACAAAAAACCACTGTCGATAATCGGATAATTCTGAAATTTGAATGTACTCCTTAGTCAGTATCAGTTTTTTCTAAATACCAGTCGTTATAGACAAAAACCGGTACAGTACTTCCCAGGGCCTGGATGACAATCTGAACGGATTACACAGGGTCATCAAAGACGTTTGACTGATTCCGAACTCTTACTCGATGTAAGTTCAGTTGTTTCAGTTTTCTATGATCTCATTTACCAATGGTGGTTTGGAAAACAAGCGAAATGTCCTCCTTCAGATTGACCTGTTCAAAGCATAGTCCGACAAGCCGCAGACCCAAAATCCCTTCTAATCCCATGCTTAGTTGACAGAAGGGAATTGTAAGATGTAGTGGCGCTAAAAGCTTCAGCTCTGGTAGTCGACAGACGCTCACTTCCGTTGAAATTCCCTCTGCTCAAACGATTGTAGACTTGATGCTTAAATCCTTCACGGAAACTCTCGTTGAAGACCAGATATAGACACGGGTTGATGGCTGCATTAGAGTGAGTCAAAAAGTAAAATGTTAGGATCAATGAATGAGGCAGACAACTATGGACCTTCAAGTTAAACATCAGCAGGAAGTGATTGACGTGCGCTGGAAGCCAGCAAATGGCAAAAAGTGTCACTATAGTGACAAGCATTGTGACCACCTTACGTTTCTGCTTCTCGATACGCTTTTGATTTTTGTCGATGTGCACTCCAGGTGCCTTCCTTTTCCACAAATGCAGCACAATTTTGGAATAAAACATGGCCATAGTTAGCAGCGGAACCAAGTATAACAACACGAACCGAATGACCTTCTCGAACATGGTAATCTTGTGCGAGTCTTGGATATTCTCAACCCACCTGGGTGCGCATATGACTTGACCGGAATCGTTGAAGAGCCTGAATTTGTAAAGCTCAGTTGCAAAAATGGCGCCTGAAATGAGCCACGTCAGGATAATTGCTACCATGGTCAACTGTTTGGACAGAGGTCTTCTCATCGGGCGAACAATGGCAAAATATCGGTCAATAGTCATTACGGTCAGCGTCAAAACAGAGGCCCCCATGGAGAGGTATGCCAGGAATGGTAGCAGCTTACAAAGAAATACACCAAATCCCCCAGGAAACCACTTGACACTCACAAACAAGTACGCCACAGAGAGCGGCACGGCAGTGATGACGTCAAGAATATCAGATGCCGCCATATTGACAATGAGCATGTTAAACGTTGTTCTGAGCTTTGGGTGGCGCTGAACCACATAAATGATTATCGAGTTGCCAAGCAACGCCGCAAAGAACAGAACGAGATATGCAATGGTTAAACCAACTGTGGTGGATTGTGTAACAGGTTGACTCCGACAAAGACCGGCCGAGTGATCCGAGCCATTAGCGGCAGCTGCTTCTACAATAAAAACATATTGATTGCTTTAAAAGCATTGAAATGAAAAATAGACACTTTTTGGATTAGACTGGTCAACGGTCTATTCATATGGTAAAAGGTTGTCACAGTTAGAAGAGTTCACCCGAGTAGGTTACCCTCCGAGCCGGGCCAACGTTTTTATTGATATAAACACTTTGGCTCGCAGCCGAGTCAAATCGGTCAAGGTGAGGCAATCAGAGCATGCGCGATTTTTATTGGCTAAGGCAAAAGGGTCATTTTTTTCTCATGTTAACGCTCGCTAAATTTGCCTCGGATGGGAGGGTGACCGTTGCACCCGTGAAAGGTTTTTCCATAAAAACGATGCATGGAAATAATATAGGGAATCTGTATCTCATAATTATACATGATTCATTCCGCTTTATTCCTAATTATTAAAATAATTTCGTCAAAAGCTTTTTCAGGATATGAATGGATCAATGTGTTTCTTTCTTTCTTTTTTTGACAGAAATTTTTTTACATAGTTTTAAACACCATTAAAGTGTCTTGTTTTTTCTTGCTACTTTTTCGGTCTCTATACGTTATTCGGCTCTTTCTTCTCCCCTACGCGCTCGAGATTTTTCCAGGCATTTGTCTAGCCCCGTACTCTCAAACAGCTTACTTGCCTCGCCATTATCTTTGTCATATCGTCAATCATCAGATAATTCTATTCGCCCAATAATATTGTCAATTTTGCGAAGACGATGAACGCAAAAGTTTCAAATTTGGTCAGCATTAGCTCGCCATAAAAATAAACAACCGGGGAATTAACCCAATCAGAAACAGATAAATTTTTTTGAATGAATAATAATGTTTATGGTTTCTGCTCTGTTTCCACCTGGCAAAGAAATTTTAAGGTTTTGACTACGAAGATTTCCTTCTATTTGATGCAGGCTTCGTAGGTGTAGATAAATTGCTAATTATGGCCGACTGGCCGATTGTCAAATTCTGGCTTTGCGTTATGTCATCTTACATTAGTTGGACTGGGAAATCTCTGTCAGCAAACCAAGGTGGGATAAATAAACCAAAAAGCTAACGGCATTCATGAGAATATTAAATGTAAAAAACCTTTGGACTTGGAAGGAAAGATTCATGGGATTGAACAAAATAAGAAGCGCAAGCCAAATTTCACATTTGATAATTATATAACTGCACACTTAGGTATTATTTCGATATCATTGCTTAATTGCAGAATTAAACTAAGGCATAGCTTTGCCTTGAATAGCTTTATTTTTTTTATTTTTACTGATTATTTATTCATCAAACAGGTTTCTCTTTTCGCTGATCCAACTCTCTTTCTTCAATTGAGTCTGTTTCTTATTTTATCCTAACAGCAGACGTTATCTTCCAACGTTTGTTGCTTTAGATCACCCCTAAAACAAGATTATACCTCCCAAATTTCCAACGAACCCCAATAATTAAACTGCTAAAAAATTATACCTGTGCTGTTACTTTCCATGCTGGTTCAACTTCTGTTTTTTTATGCTTGCCCAACTTCAACATTAGTCGACTGATTGATGGCTGGAGAGGATGTGATAGACCTGAAGACAGTCTTAGCTACAATAGTTCATCTTGTTCCAAGAACTTAACTGTCAACAAAATAAAAATGTTAAGGGTTTTTTAAAAACAAATTCACTTCATGATTGACAGTCATAGGTATTTTCAAGAATTCTGTCAGTCAGCGCTTCAAAAAAAGTCGTTAATGGGTTGCGCTTAATAAAGGTTATTTTATCGGAACCGCCGCTTGTAATATGTTGCTTTTCATTTCAATTGAAAAGGGATAATGGCCTTTTCGTTCAGGATTTTTCAATTAGTAAACTAAAACATCCACGAAAAGTCGGTAAGAATTTACTTTAACGAATCTAAGGGGAAAAAAGGCATGAAGTATATTAACTATTATCAAAGAAAAATTGTTGATATGTGTCAAATGTTAACTTTTTATTCTCCTGAAGTGAATTTATGGCTTTTTCGCGGAAAGTGATCGATTTGCCTAGTGGAAGTTGTTAACCTGGTCCTTTGGCACTTAAGAATGAAAATGCCATTAGGCTAATGCATAGGCAAGAGTGGCCTGTTGCATGTTAAGAATACTGAACTGACATCATCTCTTTCAAGACTTCCACAAAAAATAAGCCGTAGCCTTCAAACTTCTAAAATTGTTAAAAAAAAAAAACAAAAAAAAAAAAGAGATGACTTTCAGTGATTGGATCAAAGCCTGGTATTAACTTTTTCTAAGGTATAGGAACTTTTTAATCTATAAGTTTAAGTTCAAACCGCCCCAATAGTCTATTTTTCCTTAATTATAATTAAAAAAAGAAGAAATCAAAATGAAGTGATTTTCAAAAGAATGCTTTCATTTGCCGTAAGTATCACTTAAAGACTTCGGATGTACAATTAAGATTTCTTGGGATGTCAGACCAATGGCTTAAGGGATAATGCACAATCATTATCTTGTACTTAGAAGGTTAATATATCGAAGGTCGAAATTTTTCTCAATCTCTAGTCACTGAGAGGAAAGAAAAACTTATAGAAACAAAAAGCGTGAGTACCAAGAGAAATGGTGCCCAGAACCAACTGTGTGCTTTCTGGTTCCTCTCTTTAATATCGTTCGTAATTACAGTTTAGCGGTGAAAAAATTTCATGTCTGTAAAAACTTTCCCTTCTACCTTCGAATAAAACTCCTCCTCTCCATGAGAGAGGTGGACACAGGAGTAAAACAAGGTGTATTTGAGACGCTGAGAACAAGCTCTTAATTTCTACGGTTGAGACGTAGTGTCTCCAAGCTAAATTAACTCGTCGGAAATTTTGAAAAAAATACATTTTGCTTACCGCAGGCTGAGGAAGGGTTTCTAATTGTCTCTTAATGAATCACGTACTATCTTTTGAAAATATTTACAATTCATGCAATATTAGCAATACTGATTCTTGATACTGTTTCTTGGTTCATTGTACCAGCCTAATAATGCTATGAACGGTCAGATTTTTTTTCTTAAAAAAGTTCAGAAGAAAATGTCTTTGATTTTATGCCACCAAAGAATCAGTTTTGTTTTTGAGCAGCCTTTCATGGTATACGTTTATCATGTAGTTACATTGTAGTGATTCCAAGGTTAAATTATGTTTCAGTAACAGAAAGGAAAATCCATTTTGTACGATTTACCTAGAGACATGCAATAAGTAATATATATCTCTTTAATTTTTGATTAAAATCCTTACAGATGCACATATCTATTTAAGGATTTGTACTGATTTGCGCTGGTTTCATGATATCAGTTCTTGGCCACAGTATTAAAGCTGCAATCAATGATCAAACGCATAAGACTCCACAACTCAGTGGATATCTTGTGCATTCTGTCAGGTTAAAACAACTATTAATGACAACAAAAAATAGCGTTTATTGTAAATACCATGGGTTCATGTTCACACAAATACCTTTAAAAATGCTTGCTTATTGTTTTTGAGAATTATAGATGGGGTTTTAGAGATAGAGTTTTGAATATTTGTGGACTCTGGAATACTCTGGAACAGTCTCTCCCTTTTCGATCATTAATGCATTTTTATATTTCGGTGAGTACATTTTTTGTGCAGATCAGGATTTTACAAACGCCAGCAATGCGTTAGAAATATTTTGCAGTGTAATTATTTCACTTTCCAGCACGGTTCACTAAGAGAAAAAGGTCATATCTAACTGTAGTTACCATATCAAATGCGCATGCTGGGAGTGAGAGTTTAAAAGTTAACAACATTCACAGTGTTGTTCAGTTTTGAATATTAACAGTCGTCGTTTATTCTATTCATGTATGTCAATTCTAAGGAATTAAATTCCAATATTTCAAAATGACGAAAACAAAAGAGGTGCATGATTTTTCTTTCTTTCTTTTTTTTGTGGGTGAACTTCATCCTTGAATTAAAGGTTAACTTTATTGTTTTATGGTGTCAATGGTAATTTATGGAAAGGAAATACAAGTTGAAACCAAGAATAGAATTAACCCCAACAGACTTTATATTTTAACCAAATTTGTCCCTCACTTAGAAGTACATTGTCTTTAAGATCATCGGTACTCAAATAATTCTAATTGATGTAGGATTCATGTTGATCAAGATCCAGCATCGCCAGAATTTTTTTGCTAGAATTTCGTAAAAGTTACGCTGCAGAACTGCTGGTTAACTTCACGCAATTGAAAATTTGACGTTTCTTTCCGAATAATTCTCTTATAGTAAATATTAATGGGAGCTCCTCTGCAAAAATTTTTTTATGCAATAGCGAAAAAAGTCGCAAAAAAACTTTGAAAAAATGATCAATAATTGAACATTGAAAATAACTGTTATTAATAAAACTGTTCGAACAGTCTTAATTTTGGGCCTAACTACAATAGCGCCTTCTTATGAAGCGAGGAATCGTTTGGATTGGTCTGCAGTTCGCAGGCCTCCGGTTTTTACCTCTTCTTTCTCTTGTTATGCGCGAGTTTGAAGATAAAAACAGCCGTTGAGCCATTGACCGCTTAATGGTCTTGAGTCTTCAACGAAGTATACAATTCCACTATTTAGCATCTTGAACGGATAGACATTTTTGGACCTCATACCTCTAAAAGAATGGGAAGGTTGGCGATGAGCGGTCTACATTTGCGGTATCAACTCTCTCCCTAACAAACAAACAACCAGTCCCTAAGGATTGGTATTCCTGGTGTCCTTAATCCTTGTACTCACAGCAGGAGAAAGAAAACAATTATCAAACGTTTTAAAAGTCTAGAAATTTAAAAAAGGCAAAAGACATGAGTTCGCGCAAGTATTTTCATTCAATACCTTTGCAACCCTTGTCTTTCGCTTGACTCGATCAATCAGCCAGAGAAACTTCATTGATTAACCTTATCCTGCAATAGCATATCAAACCTCTTTTAAGAAATATCCGGTATGTATTTTGCAGAAGAAAGAGTGCTATAAACGGATCGAACATCAAAGTTACTTTTCGATTTTCCGGCAATCTAGAAATAAAAATTTACAATTTACTATTATTAACTAGGGATTATAGTAACAAGATTTAAAAATCCAATTAAGTAATTAAAATAGAAATGCACGTTACCCAGTGTTTTATGTCTTTTGTGGACAAGATTCGGTTTCATCCAATTGCTAAGGAGAGAGAAGCCGTAATTATTTTCATAATACTATTGACAAGATAAAAGCAAATTAACGTTCAATCAGAATTCCCCCTGAAAGTCAATATTAATTTCTATGAAAATTTAGCCTCCGCTTCCAAGAGATGACCCTTTCTAACCGTACATATATTGTATTGCTGCATGTTATTACTTACAACGCAAATGCATATATATACACTATGAACAAGGTAATCCTGGGCGAAGCTTACACTGAATAGAAAAATTATATTAATGCTCTTCTGTTTCAGTAATTTTGTTTCTGCTAGACCTTTTGGTGCAAGATCTTGTGGATCTATTCCTTCTTTTTATGAAGAAAGTGCATAAAAAAAAGGAACTGGCAAATCAAGGCTTTTAATTTTGAGTGACCTTCGGAAAGTCAAGTTCACTCAGTACAGATGATTCATATTTCATTACCGAGACCATATTGCTTTAATTAGTACAAAAGATGTCGGGGTAAATTCACCAATATGCGGTTTTACGGAGAATTTCCAAAATATGACGCACTTTTGTAGGGAAGACATCAAACTTAATGTGATTCGAAATATGAAACAAGAATTTGATCAGGTAAAGTTTGATCGTTAGCAGGTAATATATGTGAGATTCTTGAGATCTCTTGTCGTCCCGTCATCGTTTTTCGTTAATAAGTAAACCGGCTGTGGAAACAGGTATGGTCTTCAGTGTCGGACGTTGAAACATTGCCAGCAAATTGCAATGTAATCAGTGGCTGCCACTAATTGCCTTTACAATCGTTTCAACATACTGAAAAAGATCTACATGTACAATGACCGCGGTTATCCTTTCTTCTCAGCTCAGTTGATCTTTCCAATTATAAAGGAAATGGTTCGATCATAAAATAACCAATTTCAGGTCACGATGACTATAGAATTTAAACGCAAACCAGTAAAAAATCCTTAATATTTCTTGAACAATCAACTAAATGGGTGATTTTAACCTGACCTTTAATACCTATGGGTAAAACACAATCCTTATTACGAAATTAAACATGGAAAAAAAAAAAAACCTTTGATTCATGGTGATGTACTTATTTACCTTAACTTTTATAGTTCAAGCTCTAAAATGTTGCCCAAATACTTCAAATGCTCGTCCAACAATTTTTCACCCCTCACTAAGAACCTCGTCGTATTCTATCGTCTGAGTATTAAATGGCTGCTTTTTTGTGTTCCATGCAGACTCCAACGTAAACTAGTTTCTTCAAGAATGAACTGATTTTGGACTAGGCTGATTGAAAACGACAATTAACATATCCCTGCTTCTTATCCGTAGGCAGTTTAAAGTTTCAACAGCTTCGTTAACAATACCTTACCTTGGCACAGTCCTTTTACACGATTTAAGTTGCTAATATCACTGTCAGTTGCAAGGCTGGTGAAAAAGTGAAAGAGTCCCTGATTGCTGCCAGTGGAGAAACTGAAGGTGAAGCGACCCANCTCACTAAGAACCTCGTCGTATTCTATCGTCTGAGTATTAAATGGCTGCTTTTTTGTGTTCCATGCAGACTCCAACGTAAACTAGTTTCTTCAAGAATGAACTGATTTTGGACTAGGCTGATTGAAAACGATAATTAACATATCCCTGCTTCTTATCCGTAGGCAGTTTAAAGTTTCAACAGCTTCGTTAACAATACCTTACCTTGGCACAGTCCTTTTACACGATTTAAGTTGCTAATATCACTGTCAGTTGCAAGGCTGGTGAAAAAGTGAAAGAGTCCCTGATTGCTGCCAGTGGAGAAACTGAAGGTGAAGCGACCCAGCCAAGGGGATTTAAATAATGTGAATTGAACAGTGAAATTGTTTTTATCGCTCGGCATCTGCCTTATGGTCTTTTAATTATGTTTTGTTTGACATTTTTGGGTATTTCGTCTTCGATTATCGCGTTATTTATCACGAAACAGGTGGCAATTTCAGTTTGGAAAGATTCCTTCACTTTTAATAACTTTCTTTGTAACTGAAACATTGTTTTAATTTAGATTTGTTTAACTGGTACTGCCGTAAAAAAGTTGTTCAAATCACTCAGCAGGATAACTCTGGAATAGGATATTTAACATGAATTGGATCTAGCGAATTGCTCTTTAAAAACATATATAAACAGCAGCAACTTACAAAATGGAAAAACTATTATAACCAAATAAACCGCAAGGAAACGACACCTCAAAGTTGTATTAATGATCGAAGTTTATGCCGCTGTGCCAAATAATGAATGGGGTATAGTGTAATGGTTAAAGAACTAATGAATTTAAAGGAGAATAATGGTGTGATGGCTAAAGAGCTAACGAACTTAAAGGAGTACCTATTAATCCCCCGCCCCCACTGTTTTTATTTTCATACGCGCACTCGACGAACTCTGCCGCACCGTTTTTCAGAATTTGATACATTCTGAAGATTTGATATCAACGGCAATGTCAGTGATAGTTAATGCGTTATAAAATTATGTGGTTTTAGATGCCTCTACTGTCGATGCAAATATCAGACTTATTTTGGCATCATAGAGCGAGATCAAACAGACGCCATTTGTAATTTTGGTATTAACAGTAGAGAGCTTTGACAAGCCGTAAGCCTTCCTTATGATTTCACTAAATCTTAGCTATACATTCTACTGATCTGACTATAAAAAGTGATTCACGTCTATGCCACCTTTTGCATGTTGCTCAGGATTTCTACGAATTAACAAACGATAAAAACTTCCCTTAAATCTTTTTTTTTCTAAATCGCTTGGCTAGATCAGTAGCTCTGGCAAAGGATTTTTGACGCACTACTCCTAATTTCCAGGCTAACGGGTAGCCTTTTCTAAGCACTGGGCAGCTGCTTTTGTCGTTAAGTCGCAACAAGAAATCTAGTGCTCCTTTCAGCCGCTTCCTTAGTGCCAGTATTTGGAGCTGGCATATCTATAGCCACCACTGCCGGCTTATTGAAGTCTACATGTTCGTAGATATGAGACATATAACGACGGTAACAAAAACTACCACAAGAAAAAAAGGTGGTACTGGAGACAAGCGAGATGCACTAGAGCTGAAGACAAGCGGGAAGCGCGTGAGGAGGATGATGGAAGCAATTGCAGACGCGTACGCGCTTTAAACTACTCTTCCGGAGTCGAAAGGAATTCCGACCAAAGGTGACCACTACCTCAGACTCAGCCTCAGCATTCACCACAGAATTATCGGGAATAATGGATCATTTTTAGTTTTAAGCGAGTCGTAAGAGGATTCATAAGCGCGACGGAATCCGAGTCAGAAGAATCAGAACGTCTCTTGATTTTCTTGCCACTCCGCTTACGACTCCGTCGCTTACGTTCCTCTTGTTATCTAGTGAAACTGGCGAAAACCAGATTGTCGGGGTCGGAAGCAGAAGCGGAAGGATAACAATCGCAATGCACTTTCGCACGATTTGTGATTGGTTTAGTTCTTCCGCTTCTACTTGTGACACCCTCGACCTAGTTTTCATTTGATCGGAAACGACAGAGTGGTAAGCAGAATCAGAACGCTGTTTTTACTAGATCGTAGAGTTCTACGCTTCTGATTACGACTCCGACTTCGACTCCGTCGCTGGTGAAAACCAACCTTTAACACGTAACTCAAATATCCCCCAAAAAAAATGATCGCTAGCGACTGGAAACTAGGCAGGGCCGGGTTTATATATCGAGGTAACATTGAGTCGACCTTTCTCAGCTGTTACGTTGTTAAGTTGTCATGCGCTTCACAAATTCTTTGTGTGATTGCTCCTTTATTTTCAGTGTATACTCAAACTGAAAATTCCAGCAGAAGCTTATAGAAATTCTGAAATACAAGAAGTAATTCTTTTTTAATCTTTCAGCCAGGGTAGTTTCGAATTTGAGCATTTTTCTCGCAGTAGTTTGTGAAAGTTTACTAGCACTGTGAGTGTTAAAAACGCATTAAAAAGTGACGCACAACAACTGTAAGCTATTACTGCCAACCATGAACGTTCCTACTGAAACTTCAATAATCCAGAATGTGAATTTGGAGCCTACTTCACATTTTGGAGAGAGAGAATGAATAAAAAAAAGGCAGGGAATTATACATGCCTTGTGCCAAGCTTGCTCCAAGCATTCGATGTCTGTTGATTGAACTAGTACAAACAGTACTCTCTTTAAAGAGAAATGTAGTTTATATATTGAATTGTGTCTTACTGGAGCTTACAGCCAAAAAAAAGGTGCAGGTGAGTGCATTTTCAAACAGCTCTAGTTCTCATTTATTTCCAATATTGCACCTAATTAGTGCTTTTATGTAATATTATTGGAGGAGACTGAACATGAAATGAAGAATAACTTGATACAAAATCAATTACTCATTGAAGGTGCAATGGCATTGACTGTCTATTTACATAGAAAAAAAAAATTCTTTCGGTTAGTGAGAAAGGTACTGAAAATTGCTATCCGCTTTGGACGACGTAATTATACTTTTTTTTTCTAAGCGAGTCAAGATGTTCTGCATGATTCATGGTTTATATGCTAAAAACATTATAAATACAGAAGAAGTTCCTTAAATTTAAGGAATACAAACGTAGAAGTCAGCATGAAAATTCTTGCTAACTGATAGACAACTTTTTTTCTGACGGAATTTAACACTGCGACAACATTTGTAAAGACTTTAACAAACTTGACTGTTTAAAAAACTTTTGCATCGAAATGTTTTTATGCGCACGGGTGACCAGCCTGTGTGGCCAGATTGCAAACTTGCTATTCTGTTATGATGATGTCAAGCAGTACAAGCGGCCAACCAAACTTCAGAGAAGCAATAACTAGAGCGCAAAGTAATCAGATTACATGTAGGATTATTCGATTTATAAAGACTTTACCTCATATATTATCCTTGAGTAAATCTGCGCATGTGTTACAATCAGAAAAAAATTCGTTTATCTGTTATTATTTTCTCAAACTGATTTTTCCGTCTTGCTCGCTTTTCCGAAATCATTATGGATTTTCTGTCCATTGATTATGTTGCTGTTATCACAAATATGAATTCAGAAAACATTTATTAACGAATAATGCCATTTCATCCCATCCTCGTTACACTCAGGGTACTGTTAATGTTTCTCCTTTTTTATAAAGGATTTCATTGTTTTGTTGCGAAATAAATATTTCGCTAATGTTAAACTACGAGCTAGAACTCAGTCTATTTTAATGTGACTCCTCCATTTAAAGCACAAGTACAGAAAAAAATTAAAAGGAAGAAAACTTTTCTTTCTTTTAATTTTCTTGAGGAAAAAGTTTATTATTTGTCACTAAAAAGATTAAAATATATCCGAATGATCCAATTAGGCGCCAATTCTTTTGATATCGGGAGACTATCAAGAAAACATTTTTATTAACAAACCTTTGTTAGACGAAATTTCCATAGATATGAACGTTTTATCATGGTCAGCAGACCAGAAAGCGCCTGGACTTAAAAATGTTCAAATGGCCGTCTTGCACTTGTTATAGCTATTCTAAGTGCCTATTTGTCAGAGATGAATTATCACTAATCTGCTTAACCCTTGAAATCCTAGGAATGACAATTACACAAATTCTCTCCCAACACTGTAGTATCTATACATGTCCATTATCAAGCGACAAGGAAAACGTAATGAGAGTTTTTCACAAAATGATCACCCAGTTGTATGATTTGATCTTTAAACAAATTCTCAACGAAATGTATGAAGATCAGTCTGAAGCGAGGAATTTGTAAATGGGTATTTATTTAGGGAATTAAAAGGTAAAAAGACCACATTCCTTCTTTTTTTTAGGTACATCTTCCCGCGCTCCGACGTTTCTTGCTTAATTGTATGTGGGTGTATAACGGATTAAAACATTCGTGCGCCAGCGTTCTTCTTATCTTAAACATTTCTTTGCCCCCTTTTACACTTTTTTTTCCTTTTTCGTTTTACTATTTTTTTAGCCTAAACTTGCTTGATACCGCCTCTAATAACTTGTTTTATATTGTGAAGTAGCTCTACCGTCGTTTAACCTGTATGTTTCAGTAAGCCTATATGTTTTCAAACATTGTAGTTTCTAACAAACTTTCTCTCCATTGGGTTTAATATTGAATACCGGTAAACTTTATTTTGCAAAACAAATAAACTTAAAAAGCTTTAAAACTTGAAACTTGAACGACTATTAGGTGTTCTCGAGTCACTTTTATCGTAAACAGTTTGCCCTGCATTTATCTTAAACTGGCCACAAGCTAAACTGACTTCAATGATAAGCGTAACAAAATTCCGTTACAGTGAAATAACTTGAATAATTTCAAAGTCTCAACAAATGGAGACTGTTTTTGGTAGTTGTGATGGAACTCGCACACAGAATGCTTAACGCGGATGTTACAAAGATGTGGAGTTATTCTGAGATCTGGGAGTAACCGTAATTAGGAGCGTAAGGAACGGGAAAATGTGCTGTTAAAGGTTAGCGCTACTTGAAAGTTTCATTAAAGCGTAATGTTTTATCAATAGAATGCTTTGAGAGCACCCTGGTGTTCAAGAATTATTGTTGACAATCAGTTGTCTTGGCTTAGCCATTTTGAATTAATTTGTAGGTCCTTTGGTCAGAAAGTAAATCAGCTAAAAAGGCTCAAGTATTTAACAAAGGATACCTTAGGGTCTATTTACTTTACAAGTATTATTCCCACCGTCACTTATTGCAATTTAGTTTGGGGTACCTGCTCACCTACATTATTGCATGAAGTGGAGCATATCTACGCCAGGGCAGCCAAGATTATCTATAGGCTAGCTGATGTTAGCAACCAAGAAGCTATAACAATAGCTGGATGGGAATCGATTAATTCCATGTACAAGAGAAAGTTACTGACTTTAATGTATCAAGTTTACAAATCTGAGCTACCAGATAACATAATTAGGCTTTTTAGTAGTAGCAATTGTTGTTATGATCTACGCAATAGCATGAAGTTCGAGGTTCCCCTCTTTAACCTAGAGGTGGGCAGGATTTCATTAAGATATAGGGGAGCTTTGTTCTGGAACTCCATTCCAGACAATATAAAAAGAGCACCAAGTCTTAAGAAAATTAAAACAGACACTTGTTCGACTATAAATTTCAACAAGATGAAATAGTATTTTAATCGTTCTTACTTTTTAGTCTTTTAAGTTACTACTGTGTACTTATTCTTTTTATATACCTTTTTTCTGTATATTTTTTAAAATTTTATTTGTATATCGTATCATCAATAGATAGTTTATCGGTAGGTCCACATCAGCTTTAGCTGCCTTTTAACTTAACCTGCTTTAACCAAATAAACTATGAATGAATAAATGAATGGTCTTGCCAAAAGCAGGAGCCTAAAGGCTATCATATTCTAGCGCAAGGATTTAAGAACTTCAAGGTTTTTTGAAGAAGGAAAGGGTAAGGGAAGTGCACTAAATCTTGAAACGTCTAAGGTGTCCTCACCGCTTGAAACATTTTGTGTTTGTTGTTCCCTAGAAGGCTATTTTATGTGAGAGAACCTATTATTAATGATTTCTAGCTTAGTTTGGACGGAGATTTGGTAAAAATTTTCCCATTCGTGATCGGCTGCTCATTTTAAAGGTTCTTACAGTATCTTGTCTACGATCTACTTATGGGAATAAAGGATAGGAAACGATAATTATGATACAGGAAGGAAATTAAGAAAAAACAACAACAACAAATTAAGGAGTTCCGGACATGTTTTATCAGTTATATGCAGATTCAAATTTAGTTCTCGCTTAAAGTGTGTACAAACGGAGTGTGCAAACAATTAAATCTCAGTAAGTTATTACTGTTACAGTTTGTACTTGGAGCACAACCATTCATGAATTTTGAGAATTTCGTGATGAATAAGAAGGGTGGGATTTAGCTAATCCATTGCAATTTATCTTTCATTTCTAGAAGGTCAGCATATGGTGGGTTAGATAGGTCTGCTATGTTATTATCCCTAGTAAATGCCTTGGATTTTGTATTTGTCTTTATTTGTCTGACTTAATGCAGAACCGTTTGCCATAAGTACAAAACATCTTTTGGATACTATCTTAGCAAAAATCATTCGAAAGCCCAGAAACAGATAAAAAGTAAATGACTAAATAAATATTAAAAAAAATATATATATACAAAAGAGCATTCTTCTGATCAGCCTCACAGATGGAAGCGTAAGCGGCTTTTTTATCTGTTCCACTCTTCAAAAACCACAATTAATCTAATTTATACTGCTGAAAATTTTGACTAACATTAAACAAACTCATTCAGCAACAATTAAGGTGATTGAGGGAAAGCTAAGTGCACACACAAATCGAAATAATTTGGATTTGCCATGTTTGTTATGACAAGGTGTAAAAAACCCTAAGTGATAATTAAAAATCGACGATCATACATTGTCGGCCCGTGTACGTGCGCTTAAGTCGCTTGGAATGCAGTAAGGTATCGTAAACACTAAAGAGTATGACCTCATCAAAGGTCACTCCCCCAATAATCCCTCTTAACATTGATAAATCAACAGTGTTTTTCGTCATAGTGTATGCATGGCTGTAGCACATTTGGTTTACCTACAAAAGAGACTATAGCCTCCTAGAAAGAGAAGAAAAATAATGGTATTGAAAGTTGGCTCCAAAGGTGAGTGTGTGTTAAAGATAATAGTGAGT